CACCCACACACCACCCCTTGGCCCTTCATGCTCCTCTCTGCTTTCACCTGCAAGGCCTGCCATCTTCTCTCACTTACTTGCTTCTGCTGCTGCCTCATCTTGAATGGCTTTATCTGGAAGCTTCTGCCTGGTGGCTCTGAGCCTGGAATGGGGGAACCTACATTGGGTGGGGTGAGGGAATGAGGCTGGGGGCCTGGATCTTAGCCCCTGGCAGTTAAAGGCCCCAGGGTTCAGGACTGGGGAAAGTCAGGGGAGAGGCTTTCCACCTCCCAACCCTGCCCCCACCCTCACCAGCAGGGGCTGACCTCTGGTGTGCCATCATCCCTGGATAAGGACTTGCTTCTCCTCCCCTGGGACAGAGGCTGACAGTCAGAAACTGGGAGGGGACAGAGCTGTCAGCAGCCCCAGCCTGGGGCCTGGTCTCCATATAAGCCCCACAGACCCCAGAACCTGGGTTGGCCAATGTCTTCCTCCAGGCTCTTCCTGGTATCCTGTACCTGCCTATCCCTCAGCCTTGTCCCCAGGCTCCCATGGGGTGTCCCATCCCAGACTCTGAGTGAAGGAGGCCTCACCCCTCTCCCACAACACCTCTGCCCTCCTTGGGACTCCCCCTAAGGTAGGCCTCAGGCAGGGCCTGGGGTGTGAGCAGAGGGTCACGACCCCCCTCACATTCACCTATCCTCGATGGGCTCAGGGACAGGTGACACGGGCACAGGAGGCCGAGGAAAATTATGTCATCAAGCGGGAGCTGGCGGTGGTGCGGCAGCAGTGCAGCTCAGCAACAGAAGACCTGCAGAAAGCACAGAGCACCATCCGGCAGCTGCAGGAGCAGCAGGTACCGGCAGGCCACCGCGGTGAGGCCACACCCCCACCCCTGCTTGGCAGCTGCTGTCTGCACTCACCAGCAACTGGCTAGGGATCAGCCCTCTAGTTCCTAACTGGTGGGGTTGGGGGAGCACCCAGAGCTCAATGCATACTTTCCCTCAGCCCCTCCCTCAGCAATTGGCCCCTGACCCGAGGGTGAATCGTGCAATTTCCATGTTTCACCACCTGTGGGGGTGCTTGGCCTTCCACACTGAGAGGGAGGCAGTCAGCCTCCTCCACCTCTAGTCTCAGCCTAGGAATCAGGCTGTCCCTGCAGGGCCCCCTTCCTGGCACAGGCATTTGACCTTCATTGATGAGCCTGTGATTCCTTGGTGTCTTCAGGACTATTGGGCTTCCCCATGGGCCAGCCATGCAGGGTAGGAGCTAGGATGAGGGACAACGAAGGGGGCTCCTTCCTCCAGTGCCCAGGACTTTGCCCTCAGAGGAGAGTCTGGTCTGTGCCCCCCACTCTGAACTGGCATGGTGAGGGTGAGTGGGCAGTACAAGTCTGTTAGGGGGTCTTGACCTCAGGGGTGACAGGGTTCACAAGCTAGAGCACTGTGCAAAGAGTCTGCTTCTCCCATAGGTGGCTTTTAGAACCTTTCTTCAGACTTACCCAGCAGGTTTCCTTCCTTATCTGATGATCTGACAGCAGCTGAAGCCCCCAAGCTCAGAGTGCACCTGTGCACACATGCCCTGGAGGGGCAGGGAAAGATGCTGTAGGCTTCCTGGGCCCCTGCAATCCAGGCCTGATCCAAGCAGAGCCTGGCAGTGAGATGGGGTCCCTGATTTGGAGAAACCTCAGGTGCCCAAGAAACAATGGTTGGAGAGAAGGTAGGGTGGTTCCCTGGGAGGACCCCTCACCCAGGCCTGGAGACCTTGGCTTAGGCCTTGGTGCAGGAATTTGAGTTGATTCTTTGTTCCTGGGGACAGAAACAGGGATCTTCACCATTTTTCACCTGTGTCCACCTCCCACCCCTCACCTGTCAGTGCTATAGCCCCCACCTCACTGTGAAGCAGTAGAGCCAGTGGGGAAATCTGTGCTGGACTCATCCCACCACTGGCATGATGCCCTCTTTCAGGCCAAAGAGACACTCACCTGCCACCTGTGAACTCTGGCCTTTAGATGGATGAGGCAGCTAGTGCCGTAGACACAGGCCCTTGAGCACCATCTCTGGGAGAGACACTTGGAGAAGGTGCAGCCTGGCAGGGCTGGCACTTGGTATGGGGCCCGAACCCCATCTAGGCCAAGGGAGGTCCACTGGTACCCATGGATCTCAGAGACCCTTGTTGAGGGCAGCAAGCAGGCCTGGGTAGCTGGGCAGGAGGCCAATGGGAAAGGTGGTGGTGGATGGGGTAAGGGGCTAGGGCCACCTGCCAAGCCACCAGGTCAGTGAGATGGGGACCCAGCTCTGGCCCCAGGGGCTTTCCTTCCCACTAGCCAGGTCTCCTTTATTGGGCCCAGGGGGCACCTGTCTGAGACGCCTCAGCACTGAGCAAGAAAGTACCCCAGCAAACTCTTCCCACCCTTTCCTGTTTAGATACGGGAGGAGGGAAGAGGGAGGTGAAGAAAGAGGAGCAGGAGTGACATAGCCGTGAGCCCCGCCCTGCCCCACCCCCACGGTGTGGCTAAACCACAGACCACACAGCAGGAAGGGCACTTGGAGAACCCATTCTCCACCCCCACCCCAGCAATCCCAGGAACCAGCCATTAGCATCCCTCAGGGAGTATCCTGAGGCGATGGAAGGTTCCCTTTGGAAGGTTCCCTCTGTGTGGCTTTCCCAGGAAGGAGGCTGGCCTGGTCATCAGGGTCCCCATGATGGGGTTCTGCTCTCATCCCATGAGGGCAGAAAGCAAAGGAAGAGGATCCAGGGCTCCTCTTCACCTCCCTCTCTACCCACAGCCTGAGCCCCCTTCCAGCCCAGGGGCTCTGGGGAGTAGGGGGCAAGTCCTGAGCTCACAGCCAGCTGGCAGGAAGGCTTCCCACCCTCCAGCTGCAGCCTGGGGCCTGATGCAGCCCTCCACCTGCCCCCAGGATAATCCTCGCCTCACCGAGGACTTTGTGGCCCACCTGGAGACTGAGCTGGAGCAGTCACGGCTGCGGGAGACGGAGACACTGGGGGCCCTACGGGAGATGCAGGACAAGGTTCTAGACATGGAGAAGGTGCAACTGGGCTGGCTGGTTTGGGGGGGACTCTGGGGGAAGGGAGGTGGGGTGCTGCATGCACTTAAGGAGGTACAAAACTAGGCCTGAGCCAAGGAGAAGGGGCTGCCAGGGGAACCAGGGAGGAGTGTCCTGGGGTCAGATCCCCCTGCCCCATCAGTCCCCAAGGAACCCAAGACTGCTTCCCCCATGGTCTCCACAGGAGGGTCTGGGCAGATAGGAAGTGGGCCCCTCACCCCTAAGACCCTCTGAAGTTCTACAGGTATACCCATACACACACACACACACACACACACACATCAGGGCACACCCACCATCATGCACCAGATACAGTGCCAGCAGTGTAGTGGCTTTCATGGGCTTCCAGGACAGTCTGTCCCACCTGTGTGTGTCCCCAGGCCCTGGGTTCCAGGAGGGAAGGAAGAGGAAGGAGGTCCCAGACCCAGCAGGGCTGCTCACCTCACCCACACCTCCATGGAAACATCACCCAACTAGAGGCCACCCTCTCTTGTCTACAGCCCTGAAGGGGGCCCCAGGCCTCCATCAATCCCCAGCTGCTTTCACAATGAGTATTGACTCAGCTTCCACAAAGCAGCCAAAAGAGGGCAGCAGAACACACTCATTCTGGCAGCAGCAGCCCCACCTACCTCCAGCCTGCACTATTTTGGGTGCCACCCCCACCCCCCAGGTGCCTCTGCCACAGCCTCTCAGTCCCCAGCAGCCAGCTTCCCTCCACCTCCCTCCACATGAGAGGGAAATGTGTACCCAGTAGGTCCTGCCTACCCGCCACTGACTCCCAGACCCAAGCAAGGGTCAGTGAGGTCCTAGGGCTGCAAGCTGGATTTTGTTCCAAGAGGCTAAAACACAAATCTCTCTTCCCTGTAGTGGGTTCCCGGAAGAGGGGCTGCCTGGAGGGGGGGTGGGTGAGGATTCAAGGTGCCGAAGTTCAGTCTTCTCAGCTCCTGCTGGGGCAGGTCCCAGCTCTGGCCCTGCAGGGGTGGATCTCAGATTCACAATAGGAGGCACTGGTCCTCACCCAGCCTGCATGCTGTCCTCAACAGTAACATTTATGGGGTTGCCCTAAGCCAGTCCTGTGAGAGAGCAGGTGCTGTTCTTACAGCCATTTTACTGATTTTAGAGAGAGGAAGGAGGAGAAAAAGAGACAAACATCGACATGAGAGAGAAAAATTGATGGGAGGGTGAAGGGTGGAAGGGGCCAGTGGGGGAAAAAGAGGAGACATTTGTAATACTTGCAACAATAAAAATAAATTTAAAAAAAAAAGATCGGTTGCCTCCCACATGTGCCCCAACTGGGGATCAAACAGCAACCTGGTATGTGCCCTGCCCAGGAATACGAACCTACCACCTTTTGGTGTACTGGCCGATGCTCCAACCAGCTGAGCCACACCAGCCAGGGCTCTTACAGCCATTTTATAGGTGAGGATCTACAGCTGGGGCCACAGAGGTGGATCTGCCTCCATGGGCCTGGTCCTTCCCAACATATCCTGGGTCCAGGGTGCACCCTCTCCCAGCTGGGCTGCCCCAGGTAGAGCCCTAAAGAAATGAGGGAAGGCACCTTGGGCTACAGGAAAGGGTCATGGCTACCAGCTGCCCTAGGCTCTGACCACTCCTGTCCCCCTCAGAGGAACAGTTCACTGCCTGATGAGAACAACGTGGCCCGGCTGCAGGAGGAGCTAAAAGCACTCAAGGTGCGGGAAGGCCAGGCAGTGGCTTCCGCGAGGGAGCTGAAGCTACAGCTGCAGGAGCTCTCAGACACCTGGCAGGTGAAGACCTACCCAGTGGACAGGAAACAGCCCTGCAACCAGGAGGTCGGCCACCCTCCATGCTCAGGGGACCTCGGAGCTCCTAGGCTGACCACGGGCCTCTCTTGGCAGGCCCATCTGTCCCGCGGGGGCCGCTGGAAGGAGTCCCCACGGAAGCTGGTCCTGGGCGAGCTGCAGGATGAGCTGATGAGCGTGCGTCTGCGTGAGGCCCAGGCTCTGGCCGAGGGCCGCGAGCTCCGGCAGCGTGTGGTAGAGCTGGAGACACAGGTAGGCTGCAGCCACCCTCTCAGGGACTTGGTGCCCACGTTTGGCTCCCCGGTTAGGCCGTGACCCCCGCCGGTATGTCCTCCCTCCCCCAGGACCACATCCACCGCAACCTTCTGAACCGCGTGGAGGCGGAACGCGCGGCGCTGCAGGAGAAGCTGCAGTACTTGGCTGCGCAGAACAAGGGGCTGCAGACGCAGCTGAGCGAAAGCCGCCGCAAGCAGGCGGAGGCCGAGTGCAAGGTGCCTCCCTCCCGGATCCCGCCTTCCCACCCCAACCCCTGCCCGCCTCGCCCTTGACCCGCCCTCTCCCCACTGCCCTCAGAGCAAGGAGGAGGTGATGGCCGTGCGCCTGCGAGAGGCGGACAGCATGGCAGCAGTGGCTGAAATGCGGCAACGCATCGCCGAGCTGGAGATCCAGGTGAGGGGCGGGGCAAGGTGGGGGGCGGGCCCCGGGCTGGGATGCTGCCTGACCCCTGTACCCTGGCATACCCGCAGAGAGAGGAGGGCCGCATCCAGGGCCAGCTGAACCACTCAGACTCTTCACAGTACATCCGTGAGCTCAAGGACCAGATCGAGGAGCTGAAGGCCGAGGTGAGCGCGGGAGGGGCCTGAGAGCCCTGCGTGTCCTCAGTTGGTGACCGACCAGCAGTCAGTGCCTGGGGTGCGGGAGAGGAGGGTGCCTAGCGGCACGTGGGTCCACACCTCCAGCGTGCCGGTCCGGCCCCAGGTGCGGCTGCTGAAGGGCCCACCATCCTTCGAGGACCCGCTGGCCTTCGATGGGCTAGGCCTGGCACGGCACCTGGATGAGGACTCGCTGCCGTCGTCTGATGAGGAGCTGCTGGGCGTGGGCGTGGGCGCAGCACTGCAGGACACGCTCTACCCTCTGTCGCCCCGCGATGCACGCTTCTTCCGCAGTCTGGAGCGGCCAGCCAAGGACAGCGAGGGCAGCTCAGACAGTGATGCCGATGCTGAGGAGCTGGCTACACCCTATAGTCAGGGCCTGGACAACTGAGGCCCTGCCCTTGAGCCCAGAGTTGGGGGGTGGGGGAGGGCCTCCAGAGCCACACTTAACAAACTCCATGCCCACCCCAAGGGGCACAGCAGGGTGCAGAGGGTAGAGCTGGAGCCTGAGGATCCTCAGGGTACCTGTCATACACACCCTCCCCAGCACTGTTAACCATCTTGGTCAGTACCCCTCTAGGCCCAGTTACCTGGAGGTCTGCCCCTCTTAACAGCTAGGTCACGAGAGGACACAGAGGTCCCAGGATTGGGTAGCAGAAAGCTCCCTCCTCCCACCAGGCCTCCTTCTGGAACAAGGGTGGCCCTGCTGGGAAGGGCCCAGGAGCTGGAGGAGGCCTGAGGAAGAAGGGGCCACTCTGGGCTGAATGTCAACACCCCAAGATGCCCCTGGGGACCCTTGGCTTCCAGGGACAGATGGCCAAGCTGGGCTTTCCTGCCTGATGCAGGCCTCATGGCCCAAGCAGAAAACCAAAGTGCCCCCTACTGTGTGCAGGGCCACCTGGGGTGTTCATGGCCAGCAGGAACTAGGCCAGGGCAGTGTATGCCCCTGCTTCTTGGGAGGAGGATGGCCAGAGCAGCTGCAAGGAAGTCATGAGACCTGTCCCCAGTGCCCGACATCTTCCTCTATGAAACACATCACCCTATCTTGGCCAGTGATGGAAATGTTCCCCCATCCAGGCTAGCCTCCTCTCCGGGGGGTCACCAGCCTCCACTTCCCTTCCTTCCCTGGGTCCCCACACCCACCCTCCAGCCAGGGCCAGGCCCCAGGGGAAGAGGCTGCCCAGAGGAGTGGCGTCCCCATGCCTCCCTCCTCATGGTGGTCCTATGGTCTCTGCAGTCAGAGCCAAGAATGGTGCCAAAGTCCAACAATGCCACCACCCCCATGCCCCTTCCCCCCAGGGCCTTTTGACCCTTGGGGCTGACACTCTCGTGTTTCCTGGAGCCTGAAGCAACCTCCTTGGCGCCTCCTGGAGTGGGGATTCATGCTCATCCCCCCACCCCTTCCCACTTGCCCACTTCTCAGTGTTACAAAGCCTGGGGACCAGGGTGGGCATCTCGGGGCTCTCCCATGTGCCTCCCACACTGCCCACCACCATTTTGCACACTGCCTGTTCACACTCCACATGTCGCCCAGGTGGGGATAGAAAATAAAGTGTATTTACACAGTCACAAACAAGGGACACTGAGTGAGGCAGTTACCCTGGTGGGGATAGAAAATAAAGTGCATTTACACAGTCACAAACAACGGACGCTGAGTAAGGGGACTGCAAGCAGCCTCCGGGCCACAGACTCATGTCCAGCAAAGCAGTAGGGAGGGGATTAAGCTGTCCTTGTCCTTGGGAGCCTCCCAGAGAGGTAGAAGTCATAGCAGGACCTGGGGGGG